TCTATTACTGTAAAATTCTTTTGGCTTTGATTCGAAGAACTAACAAATGTCAGTTTTAACCTCTTCCTGTGTTACAAAAGCTGTTTCTTCCAAATGATTCTGTAAGCTACGAAACAAATATTAGTCTGAAGGAGCAAGATCGGGAGAAAAAGGTGGTTGAGGAATTTTCTCCCAAGTTCTTCGATCTTTTGTGACGTGATTCTTGCCGTGTGGAGTCGAGCATTGTCCTGATGAAACATCACCTCTTTTCGATTCACTAGAGCAGTTCTTTTTTTTCTCAAAGCTTGGTTCAAACGCTCTAATTGCTGACAGTATATTTGAGCATTAATTGTTGAATTAGGTGGTAAGAATTCAAAGTGGATTATTCCTTGGCGATCCCACCAGACTGAAAGAAGAACCTTTTGCCCATGAAGTTTCCTTCTCGGCTGTAGCTGGGGTCCTTCCCCTCTACTAAGTCACTGTCTACGATGCTTAACATTTCGATAAAAGATCCATTTTTCGTCGCCGGTCACAAGTCTATCCAAAAAAGGTGAAACAAGTTGGCGAGAATGGAGAGAAGAGCAGATGTTAACTCGGGATTTGAGGTTGTTTTCAGACAATTCATGAGGAACCCATTTTCCAAGTTTAGGAACTTTTCCAAGTTGTTGAAGATGACGATGAACAGTTGTATGGTTTGAACTGAGAACCACTGCCAATTCTTCAACTGATAAAACAGGATTTTCTTCAAGGGCTGCTTCAAGAAGCTTTTCATCAAACTCAACTGGACGTCCGGTTCGATCTTCATCTTCAAGGGTGAAATCTCCACCTCTGAATTTTGCAAACCATCTTCTGCAAGTTCTTTCATTCACACATTCCTCTCCATAAACTGAGTGAATGTTTCTAGCCGCTTCGGCTTCTGAGTTTTCTTTCTTGAACTCATAAAGCATTATGTGCCTCCAATGATTCTTGTTAGCAGGGTTTTAATCAAACAAAATTTAATTGTTCTCTGAAATAAAATTTGATCAGTTTAAATGCATCTAAACATAAAAATAATGTTCAGCTCCATTAGACATTATAAAATACTCTTTAAATTTCGTTCATTTTAACAAAAAGTTAAAATTCGGACAGAACTTATGGGATGACCTGATAAGAACTTATAAACATAAACATGTCTTAAAATAATCTATTCATTAGGTTGCGGCATAAGTAATTTCGTTTTGGGGAACCAACTGTAATGATGAATGTACCATTCTAGCTACTAATGTGACTGTTAAGAAACGAAATTGGGATACACTGGCATATCTTAATTAAAGGGAAAACTTTGTTCCCCTCCATGAGAACGCCAGGTCGCATAGAGCAAGAATAACGCGTCATATTCATATGTGATTTTGCAACAACCGATTATTGCCCTTCTCGACTGCTTCAAAAATGCTAGGATGTGTGAAAAAAAAATTCATCAAAACCTGCGGAATTTTATTCAAAAGGTATCGAAAACTGCCTAAAAAGTGGCAATAATTCATTGCAAATAATGGCAAACATATAACTGAATAAAATGTAATTGTAAAATTATAACTCAACCAAATATATATTATTAATGAATGTATGTATAAAAAGTTTCAGGGTCTAGCCGACTATTTTTCAAAACCCTTATCTCGTATATATAAAAGAAAAGATTTTGATATAACCGGAAGTTATCTGATAAGGTACATTAGTAGCCAGTTGCCTTGATCTATCCACTACCCTCATCCTTTCTTCTATCACTCCTATTTGATCTTGCTCTAAATTTTCTGTAACCCCTTGCGTCCTAGTGGCTTCCCGCCTTGCTTGGGGTGAAATGCTTAAAAAAAAAATAGATAGAGATAAGTTAAATGTAAAAACTGTTTTTACATTTAATGTACACTTCTAATAAAATTTCATAAGAAAGGTATCTATAAATTAATTAGATACCTTTCGTATAAAATTTAATCTCACTCTCAACAGTCTTATTTTAATTTCTTTATAATATATTTTCCATAAAGCATCGTAAATTAGGTGAAAGCTAAGTACAAAAAATAAAAAAAAAATTAGAGCGCTGAAGGTTTTCCTTAAAAATAACGAGGTAAATTATTTGTTCACTTAAATCTAAATGTAAATAACTTCACATCTCTCCTTCTGTAGAAGGAATTATCCTCGCGTAAGCTATGAAAACGTCATGAATGTCTTTCGCCACCTTGTCAAGTGACGCGAAAGGTTATGACCTGCTTTGTTTTATTTTCAAACTACGTCTTTTCGGCGCAGAAACTAAATTAAGCTTGGTTCAAAATATTTTAAATAAACATCATAATTTGAATTTTTTTTCCATTTGTACCCTTTTACTTCTTTAAATAATGACCTACACTCATACTTATGATTTTTATTGCAACATTGTTAAATCTGTTAAGCTCAAATATTTAACAACGCAATAGGAGAATTTCCATGAGAATTTGATAGTCATGAAATTTCACTCATTTAATTAAGAACTATGATTCACCAGAAAATTTAGATAAGAAAAACCTGAATTCTTCTCTACTATTTGTTGTTATTATTATTATTATTAGTAGTAGTAGTATTAGTATTGAATGTGACAACCTAAAGATAAGCTATATTGTTACTACCCACGCATGGACATATGTATAAACTTTCTGATAAAGACACACAGGTAACGGAGGTAGGTTATTCGTGTCTTGTCAAAGTATATATCACACACAAAGGTTTCGTTGTCCAGGCCATTTTTGGGTATAATTATTTTTCTATTTGTTATCGCGTGAATGGATTATACAATGTATGAGAAGGTAAGTTTCTGCTTCGGTCATGTTTTGCCGTTTACTTAATTTAAGATTAGTAGCACGCGATCTTTACGTTTCCCCTGGGGTAGACATCTCTTCGATTGCACAAGATCAGCAATACAATGTAGACGTCTGTATTTTCTTCTTTTCTATCTACGAGGAAAATTTAATTTTCTCTATATCTCTGAGATGAAGTATTATGATTACTTGCTTTATTTACATGATTCGGACTGTTATCCTCATCTTCATTGCTATATTCACAACGTTTCGGCCATTGTACTCTCCGGCCCTCTTCAGGTGATTAGACTTTCGAACCGAACCCTTTATTTCGTCCATCGGGGTAGATTGTTCTAGTTCCACGTGCTATATCTCTTCCGAATGTCTCAGTTATTTCCCTTTAACTCAACTCTCCAAGTTTTTGGTTCACCACTGCTGTGGCTTGGTATTGAACTCACAACTCTTTGTGTCTAGTCACTGGATCTAACCAACGTCTTTATCCACTGGACCATATGTTCTTGAGGAAATTCCACTCACCTGAAGAGGGCCGGAGCGTGCAGCGGTCGAAGCGTTGTGAATATGGCAATAAATATGAGGATAGCGGTCCGAATAATGTAAATAATATAATATTTAATTTTATCGTTTTTGGGTTTTTTTTTTCTATTTTTATTTATTCCCTGTCGCAAGTTCTTTTATATTTTTTCTTCTGTTCTCATGGGCGAAGTATCGAGTCAATCTTCGATAAAAATCGTGAATTTTCAATCTTTTTAAAATAATAATTATTACTCTAAATCAACGTTTCTCAAGCGATGTACCCGGGTGCACCAAGGCACCCTTAAAGCAGGCAGGTGCCGTCAGTAATTACTCAGGGCAGGCGGCTTTTTGCCTTTATGTAGTAATTGTACAAAAAACATTTCGCATTTTATGCATCACAAGAGTAACCTTCATAATTTTGTTGGATTAGCTGAACGTTGTTCTACAGAAGCTGCTGATCTATTTTATTCAGGGTAGGCACTGCCTACCTTGCCTACCTAGACAGCATGTCACTGGCTACCTTTAAGTCTTAAAGGTAGCCAGGTGAGAGTCATGTAAACAGTAGAGCAATTTAGGAATTATTTCTATACAAAAAAATATTTTAAAAAGCTAGAGACACCAAGCACAAGGCTTCCATGTCAAATTCAAGTCTTTATTATTTGATATTTTAAACTGGATGCTAAATTCCTTAGTCTTTAAGAAAGAGTGGGTAATCCTTTCCTTTTTGCTTTCCTCAAGTGATTTAAATCAGTCGTTATCGACCTCTCTGAAAAAAACAGTACATTCTTCATAAATTAAATAAAAACTGTACACGAATCTTGTTTGGAAATGCGAAACTAAAATGTTAGATTTTCAAATGCCGTTACTAATTTGTCCTTAAAAATGTAAAGTGCATCCGAGAGTTATTATTTAGTTATTCTACAGGTGCACCCTAAAGTAAAAAAAAAAGATTGAGAAACACTGCTCTAGATAGATATTAAGTACTTTTTAGTCAAAAAAATTTGTTTACCTTGACATACGTTAAATGATATAATTTTACGTATATAAATAGATGTAAATTATTTTCTTATTTTATATTCATGATATGTATCTATATATACGAGCACACACAGACAAATAGTCACCAGTTTGTAGTATGTCACTTTTGAAGATTTTACGTAAAAAACGAATTTATTTCCTGATAATAGTAGTTGCACGGTGCGCGAATTGAAATAAGCTTGCCGGTTTCAAATTCTGACCGAGTCTATTTCATTCACTTTCGCAATTAGAAAAGGCATAAATCCGTTTTTTCCAGCTATGGGTTAAATAGCAGAGAAGATTCTGCATTTTCGACGTGTTTGGCAGCCAGTCTAGAAGAATACAAACCCTCGCAAATAATAGAGTAGACAGTGCTTTTTAGCTTTACTGCGTCAACCAACTTAGAAGAAGGGCAATGGATTCAAAACCACCCTGATAAGAAATGGGTTAAGTCAGACTATTTTACCCTAGATACACTGTGGCTGGAGTATATATAACACCTCCACGATGTAACATCTAATAGGTTACGAGATTCTTGATTGGATGATAGTGTTGCGCCAATATTCGAGTAAATATTACGTTGTCGCCTTGGAAAAACATCATTTGAAATACTTGTTTCCATTTGAGCTCTAACAACAACTACATATTCCGATACCAAATAGGCTAATATTAGATAGATAGATAAATGCAGACATAGACAGATATTGTACAGAGATAGATAGATAGATAGATAGATAGATAGATAGATAGATAGATAGATAATATGCAGACGTAGACAGATGTTGTAGATAGATAGATAATATGCAGACGTAGACAGATATTGTAGATAGATAGATAGATAATATGCAGACGTAGACAGATATTATAGATAGATAGATAGATAGATAGATAGGTAATATGCAGACGTAGACAGATATTGTACAGAGATAGATAGATAGATAGATAGATAGGTAATATGCAGACGTAGACAGATATTGTACAGAGATAGATAGATAGATAGATAGATAGATAGGTAATATGCAGACGTAGACAGATATTGTACAGAGATAGATAGATAGATAGATAGATAGGTAATATGCAGACGTAGACAGATATTGTACAGAGATAGATAGATAGATAGATAGATAGATAATATGCAGACGTAGACAGATATTGTAGATAGATAGATAGATAGATAGATAGATAATATGCAGACGTAGACAGATATTGTACAGAGATAGATAGATAGATAGATAATATGCAGACGTAGACAGATATTGTACAGAGATAGATAGATAGATAGATAATATGCTGACGTAGACAGATATTGTACAGAGATAGATAGATAGATAATATGCAGACGTAGACAGATATTGTACAGAGATAGATAGATAGATAGATAGATAATATGCGGACGTAGACAGATATTGTACAGAGATAGATAGATAGATAGATATATAATATGCAGACGTAGACAGATATTGTACAGAGATAGATAGATAGATAGATAGATAGATAGATAGATAATATGCAGACGTAGACAGATATTGTACAGAGATAGATAGATAGATAGATAGATAGATAGATAGATAATATGCAAACGTAGACAGATATTGTACAGAGATAGATAGATAGATAGATAGATAATATGCAGACGTAGACAGATATTGTACAGAGATAGATAGATAGATAGATAGATAATATGCAGACGTATACAGATATTGTACAGAGATAGATAGATAGATAATATGCAGACGTAGACAGATATTGTACAGAGATAGATAGATAGATAGATAGATAGATAGATAGATAGATAGATAATATGCAGACATAGACAGATATTGTACAGAGATAGATAGATAGATAGATAGATAGATAGATAGATAATATGCAGACGTAGACAGATATTGTAGATAGATAGATAGATAATATGCAGACGTAGACAGATATTGTAGATAGATAGATAATATGCAGACGTAGACAGATATTGTAGATAGATAGATAGATAGATAGGTAATATGCAGACGTAGACAGATATTGTACAGAGATAGATAGATAGATAATATGCAGACGTAGACAGATATTGTACAGAGATAGATAGATAGATAGATTGATAGATAGATAATATGCAGACGTAGACAGATATTGTAGATAGATAGATAGATAGATAGATAATATGCAGACGTAGACAGATATTGTACAGAGATAGATAGATAGATAGATGGATAATATGCAGACGTAGACAGATATTGTACAGAGATAGATAGATAGATAGATAGATAGATAATATGCAGACGTAGACAGATATTGTACAGAGATAGATAGATAGATAATATGCAGACGTAGACAGATATTGTACAGAGATAGATAGATAGATAGATAGATAGATAATATGCAGACGTAGACAGATATTGTACAGAGATAGATAGATAGATAGATAGATAGATAGATAGATAATATGCAGACGTAGACAGATATTGTACAGAGATAGATAGATAGATAGATAATATGCAGACGTAGACAGATATTGTACAGAGATAGATAGATAGATAGATAATATGCAGACGTAGACAGATATTGTACAGAGATAGATAGATAGATAGATAGATAGATAGATAGATGGATAATATGCAGACGTAGACAGATATTGTACAGAGATAGATAGATAGATAGATAGATAATATGCAGACGTAGACAGATGTGTACAGAGATAGATAGATGGATAATATATGCAGACGTAGACAGATATTGCCGCAAAGATAGATAGATAGATAGATAATATGCAGACGTAGACAGATATTGTACAGAGATAGATAGATAGATAATATGCAGACGTAGACAGATATTGTACAGAGATAGATAGATGGATAATATGCAGACGTAGACAGATATTGTACAGAGATAGATAGATAGATAGATAGATAATATGCAGACGTAGACAGATATTGTACAGAGATAGATAGATGGATAATATGCAGACGTAGACAGATATTGTACAGAGATAGATAGATAGATAGATAGATAATATGCAGACGTAGACAGATATTGTACAGAGATAGATAGATGGATAATATGCAGACGTAGACAGATATTGTACAGAGATAGATAGATAGATAGATAGATAATATGCAGACGTAGACAGATATTGTACAGAGATAGATAGATAGATAGATAGATAGATAGATAGATAATATGCAGACGTAGACAGATATTGTACAGAGATAGATAGATGGATAGATAGATGAAGATGGAGGATAATATGCAGACGTAGACAGATATTTGTACAGAGATAGAATGGATAGATAGATAGATAGATAGGATAATATGCAGACGTAGACAGATATTGTACAGAGATAGATAGATAGATAGATGGATATACAGACGTAGACAGATATTGTGCAGAGATAGATAGATAGATAGATAGATAATATGCAGACGTAGACAGATATTGTACAGAGATAGATAGATAGATAATATGCAGACGTAGACAGATATTGTACAGAGATAGATAGATAGATAGATAGATAGATAGATAGATAATATGCAGACGTAGACAGATATTGTACAGAGATAGATAGATAGATAGATAATATGCAGACGTAGACAGATATTGTACAGAGATAGATAGATAGATAGATAATATGCAGACGTAGACAGATATTGTACAGAGATAGATAGATAGATAGATAGATAGATAGATGGATAATATGCAGACGTAGACAGATATTGTACAGAGATAGATAGATAGATAATATGCAGACGTAGACAGATATTGTACAGAGATAGATAGATAATATGCAGACGTAGACAGATATTGTACAGAGATAGATAGATAGATAGATAGATAATATGCAGACGTAGACAGATATTGTACAGAGATAGATAGATAGATAATATACAGGCGTAGACAGATATTGTACAGAGATAGATAGATAGATAACATACAGACGTACACAGATATTGTACAGAGATAGATAGATAATATACAGACGTAGACAGATATTGTACAGAGATAGATAGATAGATAATGTACAGAGATAGAAGCAAAAGACAAACTTTACTAGGGGTTACAAAGAACAGGATGTTGTGGATAGCCGTAATCGCCTACCTCATAGCGAGATACTCATTTTTTAATCATTTCGCCTCAATGCAAGGGGTTACAGACTTTTCGGAAATATGGTAAAAATTACTATTATGGAGAAACGACAATAAAAGAAAAAGAATTAAGAAGACAGAAGATAACGATTGACATTGCATTTAAAATTCTGTAGATCAAAATTGACTATGAAGCAAGAAATCTGAAGAGAGTCCCACAATGGAGAAGTACGATAAAAAGTTTTTAGCATAGAACTTACAGTTACATCTAGCAATTTCAACTCTAAAAGGATGAGAGATTGCCGCCAATCTAGTGCTGCACTTAAATTCATAAAGTTTAGGTACCATAGCGGAAAGTTCATCAGAACAATTACCATGAAAATATTTACAGAAACTAGCAGGGAACCTACGTTAGGGCAGTGAGAGAGGCCGAGATGCCATGTCAGTACCAATAACATTACAGATTTTTCTTTGACTTTTATAAAGAATTTCTAAACTTATAGCAGGAGCATCAGAACAGATGTGTCAGAAATATTCAAAGCAAAGACTAATGGTAGACTTATAAATATGTAAGGTAGATTCTGGCACGGAAAATTGTTTGGCACGAGATAATGAACCGATTTTCCTAGTTGTATACTTAGCAATTGATTCAATATATTCTTTCCATTTCATGTCAGCTATAAACGTTAGTCCGAGAAGGCACAATGAATCACTCTCCTGAAGGGTAGCATCAAGGTAAAAAAAGGTTCTCTCAGATGATTAATAGAGAGCAGTTTAGTTTTGGAAGTGTTAAAATTAGCAAGCCACTCCTTGCCCCATTTAACAACAGCTTGTTGGTCATTTTTTAGATTAGCTGCCAATTTGACATTATCGAACCGATCATATTTACTAAGACAGGAGTACATAGTTGTGTCATCAGATAAGATAGATAGATATATAGATATGAATAAACCGACAGAAAGAGTGATATAGACAGATAATAATGCAAGTAATATTGTTTGCTCACCTTGTCCTTTTTTCGTCCTCATTATAAAGTTAAGCTTACCTGCACGAAATATTTTTTCGTAAAATTGTATCGTACTAACTTCAAACGGAAGGGCTTTTTTTTAAAGAATCAGACTCGGATTTCTGAATTTAGCTTCAGTTTTGATTCTAAAAGCTACCGCACCTTTGTAATAAAAATTACTGTTGATTAGAAGCACGCTCATGAACATATATATATATACACATATATATACACACACACATATATATATATATATATACACACATATATATACATATATATATATATACACATATATATACATGCAAATATATATACATATATATACATACATATATATGCACACACACATATATATGCACACACACATATATATATATATATACATATATAGAGATAGATATGAGTGTTGACTTCAATGTTCACTCTTACATTTATATTTATATACGCTTTATCTGATATTGAGCACTTTATCCCATAAATATAGCACACCTTCAAAGTTTATTTCTTTAGATAGATACACACACACACACATATATATATATAAAGAAAGAAAGAAACAAAGAACAGCAATATATAGAATCCGGTATTGTTTTGTTTTTTTGTTTATTTTTTTTTTTTATAAAACATTGCTCAATGTAAATTTACAGAGCATAAATAACTCATAATTGATACAACAATAGTTAATAAAAATGAACACGCTACTGCCCCAGTCTAAATGATTGGATTCCTCTGTGTCCTTGGAAACAGGAAATTATGGATTCATATCTGTATTTAAAACTCAGTACATTTTAAAATAAGTTATTCCAATATTCGCTTGAAGATGAAACGGAACTAATGCTTTTAATTTAATTATATAATTAAGTTTAAAGTTTTTAGCTTCCATTTTTGAAACATGGTTATTAATGTGCAGCGAAAAAACCATATTTTAAATCGGTTAATTTATAATATTACATATATATATGTGTGTGTGTGTGTGTGTGTGTGTGTGTTGGAAGTGATAGACTTTTGAAATCTTATAAAAGAAAATTTGTTCGAAAAAAAAAATAATATGTCACTCGAAACACATTTGTTCTAAAAAATAACCTTTATGTAAACTTCTGTCAATTTAAAAAGTCATTAATTACTTAAATTATTACACACACACACACACACACACACATATATATATATATATATATATATATATATATATATATATATATGCATGTGCATGTATTAATTTTCAGTGTTTAATTTCTTATATATATCTATAGCATCTTAAGAAATTAATTCATTTTAATATAATATATATGCGTGTGCTTGTGCATGTAGTAATTTCAGTTATTAATTTCTTAAATATATATGTAGCATCTTAAAGGAATTCATTTATTTTGAGATATATATATATATATATATATATATATATATATATATATATATATAGAGAGAGAGAGAGAGAGACAGGATCAAAAGGTGAGTGTGCTTCTTTGTATGGAAGCACAGAGTGAAATAAAAATAGTACAACAAACTCATACAAGCTCTTTCAGCATTTCTTTCTTTCTTTTATTCTCTAAAAATGTAATGAACCCTTTTGCTGTTTCAGCGTTTCCGTCATGGCCTATTTTCTTCGTGTTCCTTTATATTACAAAGATCCTCTTCATCCAAAAAACATCACAAAGCTTTTCCAATTGTTCCTCCGGCTCTTGACGCAAACAATTCTTGATTGAAGAACCTCTCTCTCTCTCTCTCTCTCTCTCTCTCTCTCACACACACATACACACATACACTTACACACACACACACACTGTCATCTCTCTCGTTCTCTCTCTCAAACTCTATCTCTCTCTCACTCTCATATTTATTTTGTGTGTGTGTGTTTGTAGCTGTTAACCTGCAACACAGATTACAGTTACCTGTGATGAAATAACAGATTCCATCCAATACTTAAGGTTTAATTCTTCCTTTCTATTGTCTCACCCCACCTGATTCTCCTCTTCTTTTTCTCTCTTCTAAATTTCTCCCTTCCTCTCGTTCATTATCATTATATCTTACTCTCCTCTTCACCCTTCTTCCTCATCTTTATTCGTAAACTTTTCCCCTCCCACTTTACTTACTTGTCTTTATTACTTATCTCCTTCTCCTCCTCTTCTTCCTTAATAATTTCACATCTTTCAACTCCTCTCCTCATCAGGTCGAAAATCATCAATTGCATCCTTGTAAATGCTCCGCCAGTTTTTTTGCAGCTTAAATGTCAAACTGCCGTGATAAGGCCTTTGCGCATGCGTACATATAACACTGTCTGCGTGCAAGTATGCCGTTTCTGTATGTGTGGATCTGCAACTTTGAATATGTCCTTGTGTAGACATGTAAGTGTATTTATTCACAATGTTTTTCTTTGTGCTTTCGCAAGTTTATTTTGCATGTGCGTAAGTGTGCATATACAACCCCTAGTATACACGCCTCTCTCTATATATGTGCGTGTGTGTGTGCGCGCGCGCATACACGCGCGTTCGTGTGCATGAATAATGTATATTTGAACAGCAATTTCTCATTTATGCTTGCATTATTAAATAAAACAGACAGGGAATGCTTTAAGATTTTATGTACTTTTTCTCGTTTTTGTACAAATGGTTGGTAAAGTATTCCTTGCCCGGTGTATTTCTCATACGTGAAAGAAAGGACATTTTTCTAATAATTTCACCCCAAGCAAGATAATAAAGCCACTAAGACGAAGATGTTCCTACTTTTTAGAAAATATCAGAAAAATATGTTAATAATGAGAAAGGACAATAAAAGAACAAGAATTAAGAAGACAGAAGATAACGACTGACATTGTATTTAAATTTTTGAAGATCAAATATATCCATCTCTTCCCCTCCAGCTATGGATTAAATAACAGAACTGAGTGTACTCTCTTGCCTGAATTGGCAACCAGTCTAGGAAAAGGAAAACGCTGAATATCTTTCCCTAGACGCACCACTGCTTCTATGGCGCAGTAAAAGTATGGACCGCCTACGACCTTCATGGATTATGGGACTCTTAACTTGACGACAAATGATTTCTATGATTTTGTGTGTGCACCTCATGGATGTCGTTTGTTAAAAGGAATTTCATTAAAAAATATTGCATGATATTTTATGCTTTATTTATAGTTTCCGCAATCACATTTTATCACAACATACGCTACGCAAATGACTAACCATCAATTGGAAGAAGACAGACTGTAGGGTTGTAAACGAGAAAAACAGCCCAAAATGCGCGCTGCGAAGTGGAGATACAGAAGTTCAAGTACCTGGGAAGTGACGAAAAGGTGACATTGAAATCCGAAGTCGCATTTGAATAGCGAAAAAGCTAATCAAAGTATTAAGAAAAATGAATATGTCATTAGAAACAAAGAAAAAAAGTACTGAACTGCTATGTAAATATCGGCTTTCCTATATGGCAATGAATGCTGGGTAATTTCTTCATAGATGAATAGAATGTAACAGATAGGTGTTTCTACAGAAAAATGCTCAGAATGCCATAGAATGGATATGTGAACAACGACGAAATTTTAGTATGGAAGTGAGACTTACGGCCATTTGAAAGATTTGAATCCACCTCTTCTGGTTGATTAGTATTATTTATATCAGTAAACCATTATCATCTAAAATAAAATGTTTTACAATCCAAAAATATTTTCTTGCTTTAAATAACCTGAAAAGGGTTGATAATGTGTAGAAATCGAATCAGTCCAATCGTTAATATGGTAGTGAATGCTGGACAGTCTCCTCACAGAAGAAGAGATTTGAAGCAACAGAAATCTGCTTCTATAAAAGGCCGATGATGGGCTGAACATGTGAGCTGCTACGAGGAAGTTTTAGGGAAAAGTGAAACACGAAGATCATTTTTACTTAAAATCGAAAAGAGACAGTTGAAATAAATGGAACATAAAATGAGGGAATTGTACTTGGAAAATATGACACCCACACGACATATTGAAGGCAATATGGACAGAAGAAAGCCTAACTAACGAGCCAGTGCATTTGGATGACAGAACAGGGAATCCGAAGGATAGTGAAAAAAGACAAACATTGCTCACAGCTGCTGTATCGGGAACATCAAAATCTTGGACATGTAGTACATAATTCAACCTCCAAATATTCTAACCACTCTTATATTCGAGTATATATTGTGTTATCATATATATATATATATATATATATATATGAAGAAATATAGTCTTAAGGTGTTCTATATTTATGGGATAAAGTGCCCAGTATCAGAAATAGAGCGTGTGAATATAAAAGTTAACATTGAAGTAGAGGCGACAGTCTGTTTCATGATAAACGCAATCGTCAGGCCACCATTTTATTTTAACTTATTTTATATTATTCATATGTAATATTTTTATTAGTATTTTGATTTTAATTTATTTTATCATAAGATGGGTGGCCAGACGATTACGTCTAGCATGAAAAATACTGTTGCCTCTAAGTGTTGACTTCAATGTTCACTATATATATATATATATATATATATATATATATATATATATATATATATATTCTGGCAGTAATTGTTCTTGTAAAGGTGTTGTATTAAAAAGAAGACATTTTATGCCTATTAGATTTACTGATCGTTCTTTCTAGTATGCGAATAATATTCGCAAATGTAGCTGTTATTGTATAAAATCAAAATTCAGTTTCTAATCTTTCGACTCTCTTAAGTCGGCATCATTGGATTAAGTGCATTGACAAAGAAGTAGATTGTTGAAAACTAAATATTTTTGTGCAAAGCAGATGTGTTTCTTTATCATTATTCTACAGACTTATTGATTATCCTATGCAAATTGATCATATCCGCACTATACAATGTTTGTATTTGTACAGTTTGTGTCCGTATTTGTTATGATAAGGTACTTATGAGTTTTCTTTTGTGTATGTACAATATCAGTATTTTTATGTGAATACTGATAGATAATGTTTGTGTATGCGTTTGATACGCTTGTGTATAAATAGTAATACTCTAGTCTTGCACATATATCTCTAAGTGAGCCTTGACTGTCGCGTTTTCACACAACTTAAAATAACTCTGCGAACACACGCAAACATACATACACATGTGCATGCATATACAGAAATCCTGATTTCTCGTGTGGGTGTCTTTAATCCTATTTGTAAGAGTTCAGTTATTTTTGATGCTAACTTGTCTTTAAGGCTTCGTCTTGTCTTTTACCAAAACCATTCTTAATGTTTTACTTCCAATTTACAGAATTTTTTTTTTCTTTAAATTTATGTATTCTTTGCAACTTTGAATTTCTAAACAAAAATAAGGTTTCAGGGAGAATTATTTGATAAAAGAGTTGACCTTCAGAATTTTATTTTATTCTTATTTATAAAAAAAAAAAAAAAAAAAAAGAGTTGAGAATAAAGATAAATTTTAAAAAAATGGAGAAAGTAGACGGAAAGGATTTTCGAAAGCATAGACATAAACACGAAGGAAAGAAAAGATTGAAAAAAAGAAAAATATATGATTAAGAAGAAAGTGAGAAAAGTTCAAGATGAAGGAGAAATGATATTAAAAGAAAAAAAGAAAAAAGAGAGAAAGCAAGATTTACTCTCACTCGTTATCTATTCGTAACATCGATGCCATAATTTTGTGATAACCATCTCGGCTGCAGAAGTCGACCAAGAAAAGTTTAAAGTCATACATTTTATCAAGGATCTGAGAACTAGACAATGAAGTAACTTACAATATCGATACAATGCGACCATTGAGGAGTAATCGAGATGGGAAAAAAAAGAGATAGCTGATAAAAGAAAAGGGAAAAGAGAATTAATAAAATATATCACGGGAGAAAAATAGAAATGTGCTAAAAAGGAAAGAAAAAAAAAACAAGTTTAGATAAGATACAATAAAACCTTTTTATTTGTGGATGTATTTGGAGTTGTTTTTTTGGGTTTTTTTTTTTTTTTTTGTTTTTTGTTTCTTCTTTTTTATAAATCTTATTTCTCTTGTGATGTGTAAATGAATAAAAAAAATGTCCCATAATTAAGGTTTTACAACTAAAAAATAACAAGTCCCAAATAAAAATAAAACCTCCTAAAATTTGGCATTTGCTAGATAGAATCCTTACCGCCTATAGTATTTTTGTTTTCTTTTGTTTTTTAACGTACTGTTAACATCCGTATCGTTTTGTTATCGAGTTATATAGATCTGGATTAATATTGACTTGGATGGAGAGCAAAATAATACCAAACCTCGTACAGACGTTCTTGTTACCGTATAAAGAACAAGATCTACAACCCACCTGTCTAACAAAAAAAGAAGAAAAGATGTCTGTTTCGTTTATAGTCTTAAAATAATGACCCATTTAGATGTAGACTCGGTAGTTATTCAAGAGGGCAAAACAAATTCAAAGCCGAACTGTTCACCCACTCATCTATTCTATAATACAAAACTCAATGTGACTTTGTATACAGTGTGCGGCAGAAATACCTCCTTCAACCCTCATTAGAATGTCTGACGCTCAACTTCACGAGAGCACCTCTTTGCGACTACTCGGCTTTACGTTGACTGCTGACCTGAGATGGAACAAATACATTGAGTCAATAGCTTCGTCCACCGCAAGGAAAGTTGGCACCCTGTGCAGCGCCAGGAAATTTTTCTTGCCGGAGTCGATCCTTCAAATCTGCAAATCAACCATTCACCCTTGCATAGATTATTGCTGCCATATATGGTCTAGTGCCCCTTCTGTTTGCCTCAAGGTTCTTGATAAAATCCAGAGATGGATATGCAATGTAATTGGCCCTGATCTGGCATCTCGTCTGCAGTCAGCTCCGTCTGTCTTTTTTACAAATATTTTCACGGTAACTGCTCCAATGAGCTGCTTTCACTGGTTCCCAGACTTCATGAATTTAAGCGTACAACTAGGCTGGCATCTCGCTCTCACCCTTTCACTGTCGAAACTGTTAAATGTAGACGTCTCTTCTACTCCAATAGCTTCATGTCTCGCACCTCTCGCCTGTGGAACTCCCTCCCCTCTCCCTGTTTCCCTGATAGCTATAATCTCAAACTATTCAAATGTAAATTCAATCGACGTCTCCAGATGCTCTGATCTATCCCCTATCCTTCCCTTCATCCTTTCCTCTATCACTCCTATTTCCTCTAGCTCCAACTCTCTGTAACCCCTTGCGTGCTAATGGCTTCCCGCCTTGCTTGGGGCGAAACGCTTAAAAATACTGTCCAAATAATGGTAAAACTAAATGAAGAAACTCTTGCCACTAATGTCATACCATTATTTACGAGGTATTTCTGCCGCACCCTTTATTTATTGGTCGCGCATACTTATCTCCCCTATTTGTGTTATTACTCTATATATTACATAATTCTAAAAAAATATTTATTTTTGGTTGATACACGTACGTAAGTCAATTAATACCTAATGATAGCATAATGATAAAAAGCCCTCGTATTTCAATCAGCAAATAATCGCATAAACTAAACATAATTTAATTTAAAATAAAAAAAAAATTAAGATCAAAATTCGGCAAATAATTGAGTCAGCCTACGGATTTTTTTAATTAATCTCTGGGACACATAATGAGGAAGGAGCGTTTGGAGAATCTAATACTCACGGGTTAAATAGAGGGAAAGAGAGAAGGGAAAGCAGAGCGTGACATACCTGATGAGCTTGAGCAGGTGGATGACAGAACGTGGTCTGGGCGAGGAAGCAGAGGGAAAGAACTTGTTGAGAGCTGCAAGGGATAGAGGGAGGTAGAGAGCCATGATCGCCTACGTCCTGAAAGGACATGGCACATAAAAAGAAAAGATGATTTCAGATGTGATTTTTATTGTCGTTTAAATTTGATTTCCAATCCTTAAGTTGAATTCAAGATAAATATAATAGTTATTACCAATTAATATATATTAATGCATGTTTCATTAAATAAAATAGACAAGTTTTGTTTATTCATTTTAAGTAAGTTCCTTTCATATTGTCTGATAAGCTTAATAACATTATCATTGAAGGACGAAAGGAAATCACCATATTGATACATGTTTAAATCCAATCTTAGCTTTCGGCTTAGATAAACCATTATCAAAGATGACAATTACATTTCAATATATCAACCAATACACGGACGAAACAATAATGACAGTCTGTTTTTGTTGCCTGAAAAATTTCAAAGCAACGACAAACTCGTGTATACGAGACACGGAAGCGAGAATCGCATCGCAGCTCGTGACGTCACACATGACCACGCGAGAGTGAAAACGAGAAGTATTAAGTATGGGAAGCTGTTGGCATAAACCAATGTCTTCTGTTATCAATTATAGGCATTTAAGAATATTTGTGGAGATTTCATAGTTTATTTAGTTCAAGTTAGGTTTCAACTGTTTTATGTAGCTTCAAGAATTTTTAGTTTTTGTTTATTGTTTTCATGTTTAAGTATAATTGTGTTGTCAACAAGGATTTTCCGGAATTGTGTACGCAGCCAGACATGTTGTTTTAAATGCCTAAAAATGTTAGAGTTATCATTCAAATGTAGAGTCAAGCGTCGTGAAAGCGAGTTTGTGGTGTGACTAACATAAATATTATATATATATATATATATATATATATATATATATATATATGGGGGTAGTTATATATTTTAATCCACGCATACACATTACGAAAAGTGGTATATTTGTCGAGTTAACTAATATTTTTTCTTTGTTCATCTTTCAGGTGCGTACGTCATGATGACGTCATTGGCCCGTGATGCCGGTGGCACAGTGCTGTGGGAACCCCCAGTGTCGTGGTGGATTAAATGGGTGTTCATTCTGCATGTTGTGAGCACATTGACTTCAGCGGCTGCTCCGTCGCAGCTACCATTCTCTTTCACTTACCCCATGTATAATGCTACGATACCCGAAAACTCGGTGGGAAAGACTTATATAATGTCTTCCCGTAAAATGGGCATTTATGTCCATGACAAATCGCTCGACGTGTCCTATTCGATCGCAAAGCGGGACGACGACTTGATATTCAAATTAGAGGAGCTTCGTATTGAGGATTTTTGGTTTCTCAGGATCCGAACTAACACCGGGATCCTTCCTGGGAAATTAAATCGTGAGTTACGAGATCATTATACGCTACATGTCAAAGCTGTTGGCCAAAATATCGCCGGTCTTATATTTGAGGCCGAAACTACAGTGTACATTACAGTTCTCGATACAAATGATCTGAGTCCGATATTTTATAACCCGCGTTACAATGTGACGATCAGTGAAGACACGCCCTTGCATACTAGTATCATTCAAGTCAGTGCCTCTGACGCAGATATCGGTGTAAATGCTGAGATCTATTACAGCTTTGTGGACAATACTAACGTTTTTGCCATCCACCCAACCACCGGCGTGGTAACACTGACTCGCCCTCTTAACTACCAGGATCAGAGTGAATATGAACTTGAAATTTTGGCTAATGATCGCGGACCGAAAACTAGCACGCAGATTAGCAAATTGAGAGGTCGAGCTAAACTCACAGTCAGCGTCCAACAGGTGAACCTTTACCCGCCGGAGGTCTATATTGAAAATCTGCCATCTCTAATCGAGCACGGCAATATTGGGACTGTCTATGCAATTGTCCACATTGAAGATAAAGACAGCGGCGTCAACGGCGAGATTAAAAAGCCTCAGATCATAAACGGTGACCCTGATGAATATTTTATGCTGCGTCAAGGTAAAGCTCCGGGTGAATATTTGATTATCGTCAGGGAAAACTTAGACAGAGAGGACAGCCCCGATGGTTTCAACTTGACACTATTTGTCTCGGATTCTGGTACCCCCGGTTTAAATACCAGTGTTGTGGTTCCAGTCGATATACAGGACATGAATGATAACTCACCAGTTTTTGCCCAGGCCGTTTACGAAGCAAAGATTGAGGAGAGCGCCCTAATGAACACGCCGGTTCTATTCGTGAATGCAGGAGACGCTGATTTAGGGAAAAATGCTAAAGTCCGTTATTTCATTTCTGGCGGTAATGACGATAATTATTTCAAAATGGACGCAGCTTCCGGTTTAATAAGCACAGCTTCCGCTCTGGATGCTGAACAAGTGTCAGAGGTTGAGCTTGAGGTAAGTGCTGAGGACGAAGCTAATACAGGAACCCGCAAAAGCGGGGCGGCGGTCGTCAGAATTTCAATCAAGGACTGCAACGACAATACCCCGGTCTTTAACAGTACCGATGATGTATTCTATATCGAAGAAAATTCTCCTATTGGCTCTGAAGTGGGCCAGGTAACTGCCACGGACATGGACAGCGATGAGAACGGTTACCTGAGTATGACAATCGCCAATGTAAACCCCGTGCCGTTTGAGATCGACCCTTTCACCGGGGTCTTAAAAACAACAGGTGAACTTGATTATGAATCAATGCGTGAAAAGTACATTTTAAAGATACGGGCTTCGGATTGGGGGTCGCCGTTTCGCAGGGAGGCCGAGACACAAGTGACTATACGACTTCGAGATCTGAACGATAATAAGCCCAAGTTCGAGCACTCGTCCTGTGTCCTGTACGTCTCCATTGAAGCTGTCCAGAACACGGAGTTGTTGGTCGTGTCGGCCATCGACTTTGACCTCACGAATATTGTTACTTATAACATAACGGAGGGCAATGACGATAACCGCTTCGTCATCAATCCCGAGGGAGGAGACCTGCAGTTGAACGTGCCGGCTAACGAACTGCGAAACGAAAAGGTGATTCTTACAGTAACTGCCAGCGATGGCGTTCACTCTGCCGATCCTATGTTTATAACTGTCATCGTGGTCGATAAAGGCCACAGTTACAATAAACTTACCGATAACCTTATCACACGGAGCTGTACGGAAACAAATGCTACAAAGGTCCTCGAAGAGATGCTACTCAAAAAGCAAAAAGACAGTCTAGAAAACCGGGATCTTATGTCGGAAATTCCAGATCAGTATTTGCACAATGAGCATGCACCAGTTTTCAATAACATGCCGGAAAACGTTAGCGTGGACGAAGACAGTCCAATCGGATTCAGTGTTTTAAAACTACCCGTCGAGGATCAAGATCCTGGATATAATGGTAAATTAGTGTATGTCATCTCAGAAGGTAATAGCCAGGGATTCTTTTCAGTCAGCAATGAAGGTGTGCTTTATGTTCTGTCAAAACTTGACCGGGAAAAACAAGATCGACACGAACTGGTTATTCTGGCCGCAGACCTCGGCTCACCAAATAAATCGACAACAAAGAATCTCTCTGTGATTGTCTTGGACAAAAACGACTGCTCACCAAAATTTGAAAGGAATCATTATACTATGAATGTGTCGGAGAATGTAAATATCAATGCGACTATTACACAAGTATATGCGACAGATGATGACGAGGATAAAAATGCACAAATCACCTACTCCATCATTTCAGACACCGAAGAATTCAAGGTGGATCACCAAACTGGAATAATCCGAGTAAATGGGTTGCTCGATCGTGAACGACAAGAAATATATAATATTCTAATCCAAGCAAAGGACGGGGGCATAGACCCCTCGTTGTCGTCTACGACGACCGTCACGATCATTGTCACAGACATCAATGATAATCTTCCAAAATTCTCACCGGAGGTTTACGACATCAAAATCAGGGAGGATCTTCCAGTGGGCGCCGTTGTCACCATGCTCACGGCTTACGACCCTGATGTAGGAGACGGCGGGAAAGTAAAGTACAGTCTTATTTACGGCACCGACGGCAAATTTGAAATTGACGAAGAAACGGGGACTGTTAGGATTGCCGAGAAATTAGACTTTGAACGGAAACAGGTGTACAACATTACGGCGCAAGCGGAGGACCAAGGCGACTCACCATTGTTATCGTCTTGCTTCATCAACATCGAAGTAGTTGACGTCAATGAGAATCTGCACCCGCCAACATTTGAGAACTTTGTGGCGATTGGATATGTTAGAGAGGATGAACTAATAGGGACTGGCTTTATGCAGGTGTCAGCGACTGATATTGAAGCACTGGACAATGATACAATGCCTGTCATGTATTCCATTCGGGATGGATCAGGACTTGGACGTTTTACCATTGACAATAACGGTAAGTGAGCAATTTTTTATTCAGTTGATATTTATAATGCGTTACTCTATATTAATTCACTTTTTCAGTTTCTAGGAACTATTCATTTTTTTGGAGAAAGATTCACTCAAGAAATCCTTATTCCAATTAAACGTTTTATCAAGCATTCAGAAATTTCTTCTCGTTCCTTACTTTAGAATCTGAGTATTCTAATTATGTTTAATTATTAAAAGTTAAGAAAAATCATTTAAAAATTATAAAATTACTATTAAAATTATAAAAAATCTTTTTTAAAAGTCCAGTCACCATTTTTATTTCAAACATCTTGTCAATTTGAAACTAAAATGTAGATAATAATAGGCAAGTGAAGTACGCTCGCCATTGTGCTATTATGCATGCTTTTCTCTTTCCTTTGAGACTTCTAATCGATGCAAGCCTGCATTTACAGGGCATTCGTCGGAATGTCAAAACCAATCTAAGACAAACAATTGTGTTCCAAGCAACGAATAAAATCCTGTTTTCAGATTCATTGAAATTACGCAGACTAATTAAATATAATAACTTACATAATAATTTATTTTCATTTTTAACACTGTAAATTCAATAAGTATTTCCTTACTCATAAACTGGCTAAGCGAAAGCAAAAAAAAAAGACAGAATTATTCAAAAAAATTTAAACATTTTACCTCAGAAGACCAATGGAAATAACAGGTGGAAGAAGAAGAACAGCCTAGTCTTCCACGGGGTGAATTAAATAAAGAACTTCTTTCAAAATTCTCGAAATTTTACCGAATCCAAAAGATACCAGCCTGAAGAAATCTCGACAGTACATAAGCTGAAACAATGTACCAAAAGCAACACAGATTAAGAAACTAGTTTGAATGAATCAATGTCTAACGTTTGTTAACTTGAAACTAGAACTATTAAAGTCACTAGAGGGCGTTCCATATAAAGTTATCACCATTCACGATGACGAAGCATTTATTGTAGTTGCAGAACATATTAGTGACTGTCAGCCGAAGGATAGGTCGCAAAGACAATGGATTGACAATTATTTTTACTTTAGTTAAAATATTTTATACGTTTTCGTTTGAGATTCTGGTATCTCTATAACATTTCATATGCGATATAAGATACTTGTTGGAATATATGCTTTACAATTTTCTCCCAAATATCAAAATTTCAGAATTTTCCGAAGACACGAAAAAAAAACTTCTTTTGAGTTGAGACAATATGGAATATAATGAAGCGCTAGTAACATTCGCTTTACTATCGAACAATTTAGTCTTAATATTCCCCGTTGAAATGGCAGAGGGATTTTATATTCCAAACGTAGCTTAGATGTGGCACAAGGCCGAAAGTAGGGGGCACCCAGTGAGGATCCAACTCACTTGTAATTGTTCTAGCGAGACAAGCTTCCTAACCATTACACCGCCTCGAGGTGCCCAACCAAAGGTTTTTTATATGTGGGGAATTAATCCACCTTTTCGGCCAGGATGTTTCACTTAACTTCGGTTGGGTGGCGTTGTACAAATCAGTATAAAAGAAAAAGTACAGAAATATATATACTATGTAATTATTGTGTGTGTGTGTGTGTGTGTGAGAGAGAGAGAGAGAGAGAGAGATGTGCTACGTGATTCAGTTGAAACTGAAAAGTCAGTTCGCCCTAGGACTAAGCCTTGCCGGAGAGGAAACAAGACACGTCTTGTCACCACGGCATCCCGCCAGTGAAGCGAGAAAAAAGCAAGAGTCTGATTCCTTTTCAATTTATGCTGCGTCATACAATGTCGCTTAGCCGGCAATAAGAGAATTATCCTGGAACTAAAGATGGTGCCATCCCAAATATGTCAGTACATAGGGTAAACCTTGAATTTTATCACTTAAACTGTAGAAAATATTACTTTTTATATAAACACTCTTAATATCATACCGCGCTGGAAAATAATATTTAACAGTAACAGATCTCCATTATATTATCAGCTAAACTTAATTTAATTCGAGATCACAACAGTGGATCACGCAGAGGATCGAACTCGTTACAGGAACAACGAGTTGTGAGATTCGCTAGCTAAACACCTTTCTTTTAGAATCGCTTTCTCTATTTACTAAGCTTAGCGTATTTCGACAAAGGTCCAAGTGTAATGTGATACGCTCTTAACATCCTAGCGAGTGGCCTTCGAGAAAAAAAGAGTTAACCATCTATTTTTGCTTTAACTTAGACAACTTAAGAACAACATTGTGTGAAATTAATTCTTAGTATGTATTCCTGTGAAAACTATGAGAGATACAAGTTGCACATTAAGTGTCAAAGAGACACATATCAATCGTATGTCGTAATCTGGTCAGGTTCAAACGCGACCCAAAACAATGAAGTTAGAATATCCTGATTTCAGCTGATTAAAATGATACTGGTGATTCTTGTGAATTCGTCTAACATACCATCATTTTCAAACACTGAACATATGAGAGAGATTTTAAAAAAGAGCAAGAGAATAAACAGTACTTGCATTATTTACATTACTCGGATTGTTATCCTCATCTTCATTGCTATATTCACAACGTTTCGGCCGTTGTACGCTCCGGTTTTCATCAGGCGATTGGAATTTCGAACCGAACACTTTATTTCGTCCACCGGAGTAGATTCTTCTAGTTCTACGTGCCATGCCTCTTCCAGATGTCTCAGTTATTTCATTTTAACTCAACTCTCCAAGTTTTGGTTCACCACTGCTGTGGCCTGATATTGAACTCACATCTCTAGTCACTGGATCTAACCAACGTCTTTATCTACAAAAGACAGACAATAAACAGTAGTTTGTTTGCTTTTAAATATTTGTATAACTAATTTTAAGATAATATAATGGAGAAACTGACTTTGTTTTATTTAAATAAATAAATTATTTCTTTCATAATGGTTTAGTTATTTCTCACACTGAAACTGCAACAATGTAATATATTTTCCAAAAGCGTCTCTTCCTGAGAAAATATGGCGCCGGGAAACATAAATACACAATTAGAAATGAAAAGAAAATAAAACAAAAATATAAGAATAATTACAAAGTCGAGTTAATTTTAGGTCTTTTCTTTGAGGTTAACTCGAGCGTAAATTTCAGAACTTACCATGTTGATTTTCAATATTTGTATTACACTTAATGACATTTTCTTTCCAGAATTTATTTATCTTCAGTCATACTTTTTTTAATATTATTATTACACTATAAGATATTAACTGATAATGCACGTTGGAGGGCACCTCGTGGCGGTGTTATGGTTAGCAAGCTTGTCTCTCTAGAACAATTACGACCGAGTAGTGAGTTCGATCCTTACTGAATGCCCATTCTTTCGGGTTTGTGCTACATCTAAGCTAAGCTTGGAAAATCACAATACATACACGTTTGTGTTGGTGTGCGTGAAAACTGCGAAAAGCCCGGTGTCCATTCAGAAGGGAATTAAAGGTGAAAATAACACCACGTCGAGAAATAAAAACACGAATCCAGCTTCCAGTAAATTTATTCACCGATTCCTTTGGCGCAGTTTAGGAGTGCAGGTACGTGACACTTGAGACAGCGTCACTAGTATTTCTGTCTACTAATGTGCCAGATCTATCATTCTGCTAGAAAGAAATCTGAATTTATATCTCTTTTAGTTTAACCTTCTCTCTCTCTCTCTCTCTCCCATCTCTCTCGACTCTCATTTACCACCCCCACTATACATCTCCATTTCACAACATGTTGCTTTCAGCCTCTATATCGCTACCATCTGCCAACGGGTGACTCCAAAAATAAAAGACAAATCCTGTAACATCCATTTATATAAGCCTAACATCGGAACTTTCTAACTTCATAAAACACCTGTCTATATTTTCTGAAGAAAGCCGGAGCGTGCAACGGCCGAAACGTTGTAATAAATATGGCGACAAAGATTAGTACAATAGTCCGAATAATATAAATAGTGTATATAATACCTCATCTCAGAAATATAGACAGGTACTTAAGAAGGCTAGAGCGTACAACGGCCGAAACGTTGTAATAATTAGTCCGAATAATGTAAATAGTGTTCATGAAATACGGGCCACATAAAATCCTTTACTGTCGATTTCGTGGATATTCTAATAAATTACCACAGTATATGTTTCTATCAACTGTTGGCCTATTTTGTGGGGGTACCCCTTTGCTCGAGGATACATTCGGCGTATGCTTGACACCCAACCGACAGGGCGTTCAAAGTTTAGCGTGGTATATAGACTAAGTTTATTCGAATTAAGAAATCTCATATAAGCATCGTTTCACAGAATGGTAAACTTAGTTTCGTTTTTAGTTGACACCTGCGGTCATGTCTACGTTCCCTTTCAAAATATATTGGAAAAAATGATTCAGGTATTGTGGACATTTAACTTTTTGCTGAACATAAAAACAAGAAGCAATCAATAACGAAGCCGATGCACAATTCAAGGGACAATCATGCAAATTAATGCTCATCTGCAGTTTGCTAAAAATATGTTGGGTGGGTAGTGTTGTTTACTGTGTTTAGCTTACTTTAAAACTGAACTACAATTATTATTATTATTATTATTGTTATCATCATCGTCATCATCATCATCATCATCATCATCATTATTATCATCATTACCATCTTCATTATTATTATTATTGTTGTTGTTGTTGTTCTATTGTTATTATTTACTGAGATAACAGCACGCCAATAAATGGATGCTAGGGTGCAAATATGCACAGCTCAATGTACCCATCATGACAGTAAGTTTGGCAAAGGCATACCGTGTATATGCATCACAGCCAAATTTTCGCGATAGGGGAGCAGGTTTTGATAAAAGCAGCAGGTGGGGAGGGGGGCAGTGAAAAATACCTTCAGGTCAGGTAACCCGGTACATTACGACGGTCTCCGACTGGCGGTGCTCCTAATTATCTCGGCTTGGTTGCCTCATCGTTCAAGCTTTAAAAAAAAAAAAATTATCCCTACCGACTATCGGTCATGATGCTTTCCCCACTATTCCCGCGTCTGTCTCTAGGGGACA